GAAACACCATGAGGTACAGTTGTAGACTTACAAATTTTTGTGCTTGGGTTTCAGTTATACAATGATTGAGTACCCATCCCTCCACCAGTGCCCATTCCCCACCTCCAATGCTCCCAGCATCCCTCCCATCCCCCCACCCCCACCCACCCATCCTACCCCACCCCTGTGGCAGGACATTCCCTTTTGTTCTCTCTCTCCTTTTGGTATACCCTTGGATCTTGAAAATAATTTAAAGTCAGTGTCTATCAGAGTGTTCGCTGACAAAAATTAAAATGTCACACTTCACTTAGTCCGAAATGAACATGCTCATGTATGCACACATACGTAAATTTAGGTGGGATTAGGTTCAGCACAGAGTACTAATCGAAATTCCAATGTCCATCTAAATCAGTTTCTCTTCTTCCCTTGTTTAAAAAGGCAGCAGAGGAGGCTGGAGTGATAGACAGTGGGTAGGGCATTTGCCTTCATGCGGCTGACCTGGATTCGATTCCCAGCATCTCATATGGTCCCCTGAGCAATGCCAGAAGTAATTTCTGAGTGCAGAGCGAGGGGTAGCCCTCTGCATTGCCAGGTGTGACCCCAAAAAAGCGAAAAATAGATAAATAAATAAAAAGGCAGGAGAAAGAAGTCTTGCCAGGGGCCTGAGAGCCCCTTCTCTGCTCAGTTCTTATCCTCTTTACACCTAAAGCAGTGAGTGGATGGAATTTTTCATCGCTCCAAATAGAACAAGTCAAAGCAAGAAGATATGTGGATGCAAGAAAAATTCTGTTTGGCCAGTAATGACCTGGCATCTCTTTTTCTTGGACTTACCACGTGCTCAAACTGTCTTTATTGATCTTAATTCAGTGCATTCTTTGAGATCCTATGGACCCTTGTGATTTCTTCTTGCAGACTGTGACCTAACTTTGGTGAGGTTTGGGGACTGGAACCTTCCCAATGCTACCACAATGTACCTTTGGACTTCTTTCCCTTGTTTTGTGAACTTTGAGAAGTGCCTTCTGGGACAAATGACTGTAGAGACATTCTCCCACCAATATGATGTAGTCCCAAAGATGAGCTAGGGACAAGCAGCATTTCTTAACCTTCAACTAACACATCTCTGTGGACTCCAACCTGAACAGTTATATTACTAAAACTCCACGCCCTCCACCATCTGCATGCCATGAGGAAAAGACTCCCTCAAGACTGTCTTGTGAGAATCAAAGAAAATACATCACTCATTCTGTGTTTACTCTCCAGACTTATAATTAATAGGAAACCAATTCATTTTATCTGTCATAGGTGTAATTTTCACTAAGGTCAGCCTTCTTTTCTTTCAGTAAAGAAAGAGAGAACTCTCTGCAGAGATTTCTTTGTATCTTATTTTTCTTCTGTGAATTAGAAGGCAATCGACTTCATCAACCTAATTTCAGAGGAACAGAGTAACAGTTCTCCTGAAGCAAAGCAGCAGTGTCCCTCACTATGGTAGAGGTAAAGGAATGTACACCTATATCTCACCCGATCCTGTAAATTTGAAGCACATTAAAAATTCTTGAAAATATAATTTTCTGCTTTACCCATTTTCTTAACTCTCACTTTTTTGAATCCATGTTGTTTAAAGAAACCTCAGCTAAATGCAGCACAATTTTTTGATAATTTTCACATTGCAAAATGGTGTCACTAACCCCTTTTGCCTTAAAGCTTCCATCAAAATTAAAACTAGAATATTTTATTTTGAATTATTGATTAAAATCAAACTTTAACAGTTTGATGATCTAAGGGGAGACATTTTGAAAGAGAAATAAGAATTCTAAGTAAATTAAATATGTTTAATATTATACAGTTGAAATAATTTATATTAAACATAAAAAATTGACAAATTCTGTCATGGAAAGGGAGTTACACTGAGGAATTTAATTTTCAAATGGTCAATGTAGTTTTGCACAGAGATACTGGCTAGGCTATTAGAATATTCAGATAACCATATAAATTTAATGCCCAAACTTGACATAAGGTAGAAATAAAGAGAACATTGTTAATATACCCATACAGTAAGTGTGAACTAGAATAGTTTCATTCAAATTGGATGCCTGATCACTCTATATGAGTCCAAAATAATTGTCACTACTGGCCAGTCTTAGAAATCAGCAATGAAACCAACTTCTGGATTTATCCATTCAACATTTGTTCCAGAGGGAATGGTAATGAATCTGAATTGGGCATCACGAGGGGGAAAAATGTGAGTATAAAAATTAAAATGATGCACTATAATTCTCAATGTTATTTCTGAATAAAAGAGAATATACTTTATTAAATAAAATAAAATAGAACATGGGCTATAGAATTTATGGCCCATATTTAAGATGTCAAATACAAAAAGACAAGATATTGACAGTAACTAAAGCAAGAAAGAAATATCAGTATTATTTATTATAATAAAAGGGGTTAGTAAAATTAAATTAGTAAAACGTGAACTAAAACATAATCTAGATAGTCAAACACATCTTTTATTTGGAAATAAGGACAAAAATAACAAAGCTCTACCAGAAAAAATTAAAAAAGCTCGTTAAGAAATGGAATTTCTAGAATTATTTAGAAATTAAGTCCTTAAAATATATGGACATAGGGTGGGGCAAAAAGAAAAGATGTCATTTCCTATTAGTATGCCATTAGCAGAAGTTGTTACATAGACCTCTCTCTTAAGGCTAATAAGATGGACTTTAAGACATGAATGAGTGCATGCAAATATAAAAAACCATATACACACATCAACAAATAATCATTAAAAGTCAAAGTTATGTTCCTACTGATTGATATAAATTAAACTAAAAAGGAAAAGGTATGTCTAATTACCATCAGTTAAATAATATGTATAGGTAACAAAACATCATTTGGTAACTATAAACTACAGAATAATAGTTACCAAGGCATGATCCATATATGGTATTTACAATCCATAGCATAACTAAGAAGGGAAAGCAAGTATTTCATATTCTTTAACTTACAGTTGACAAAAATGAGATATAGTAAGATTAATAAATTTGCCCAGGGCTACACAACTTGAAAGTGATGTCGATTTAGGATTCAAATTCAGGTAATATGCTTCCCCAGCTTAAACAACCCTTACCTACATCATTGCTATATGTGACAAGGGAAGAGGAGAAAATGTCCCATAAATTCAGATCTGATACCTGTTATATCATTTTCTTCTAAAATTAGGCCTCACACATGGACATCTTTAGTGTGTTAAAAAACTAAGATACAGACTATGGCAAAGCTGCTCAGTCAGTAGATTGCTGATTTCTTTTATGCAAACACAGCTACTTTTCTTCCTGATGTGAAAAAATATCACATCTCTTCTACTATTCCCAGTCTCAATTGATTCTGATAAAGACATAATATGATTAAAAAAGAAAAAACCTCCTGCACAATCCCCCCCCCCCAAATACCAAAAGCTGCTAACAGAGTTTCCTGAGTATCTAAAGTTAATGCATTGTATAGATTTGTATCTTCTTCTTTGTCATTACTAGTTCGTGCACAGTTGTCTATTGTACATTGTAAAATTTCTCTTATGAAAGTCTAATGTATTTGCAGGGAACAGCACTTGTTAGATAATGGGAGTGAAATACAAAGGAAGAGTGATTTTGCTGAATGTTATTGTATTCCAGAAAGGCTGGCATTAAAAGAAAACTTTTGGCATTCTCAAAGTATTTAATAACATAATTTTAATGTATTCAAATTTTGTGGACTTTATTGTGTTCATAATAGAACATATAGATCCTCATGTCTTCTTAATATCTCCAATGAAGCAGTGCATAATTATTTCTGTAGTTTAAATGTTCTGGCTAGCTTACAATTGAAGGCGGCTGTTAAACAACCTAACATTAAATTTTAAAGAATAAATATAGCATTAAAGCATCTTAAGCTTAATTGTCTCTGTTTTCAAATAATTCAGTCTTTGGTGAATACAGAGTAGTATATCAGGATTGAAAAATTAATGACAGTGAAGTTTCAATTTTGAAATTAAAACACGACGTGTTTCTAAACATAGAAAGATGCCTGAAATTTTACCTTTAGGATTTCACTGCAGCTCGGAGCCTATTGAAGCTATTTCCGTGTGCCTTTTTCTCTTTTGTGCCTACGTCACCGATTTAAGGTTCTCATTTATTTATTTAATTTAAGAAGAAAGAAGTGGCTCTATAGAGAACAGTATCTGTTAACCAAAGTAGGATTAGCGAAGTCTAAAGTGGGGGCTGGGGAGAGTTGCTGCACGAGGGGGGTGTGGCAGCATAGGAGGATGAAAAGAAAGATAATTCAGCACTCCTTTCTAATCTTATTCCACCCAAGAAATTTGGAAGAATGCGAAAAAAGCAGCAGCCCAGCATTCTTGAAGGGGCGTGGCTTCCCTCCAGGGGCTGTCCAATGGAATTCCTTCAGAGGTAGCTATCCCCTGAAGATTGATGAGGGTTGCTAGGAAACAGAAGCGTCTCCCTCCCTCCTGACCCAGGGATTGTTCTGCACAAGTCCTCTCCAGGGGCTCCCAATGTGCAGTTGAGCGGTGTGCGGGGCAAAGCTGCACACCGGCCTCCCAGACAGACTCGTTTCCTCTCTGCTCCTCTCTCCCTTTCTCCATCAGCATACGGCCAGTCTCTAGCTCCCGGACCGCAGGAGAGTTGAATCTGGACTGACTCCTAGTCCCCGCTCTCCCTGAGGTTAAGAGCTCTAGCAGAGCTTCAAAGTTAGAGCCAACGACCTCCTTCCGCCCCAGTCCTTGCTGAAACTCACCAACCTTTGCACGCATTGCCTAAGGATTTCAGATTGAGCGAGGCAAAGGAGCCGCCGCCGGCACAGCCGCGCTGGCTGTCCGTGTTAACAATCCTTTCTCGACTAGGTACCCTGGCTCACTGAAGACTCTGCAGATACACCCCTGTAAGGGGAGGGAGGGTGAGGGAGGGGGAAAGCTGGAGAGAGGGAGGAAAGGAGGGAAAGAGAAGAGAAAGCCAGAAGGTCTGTGTCTCTACCTAGGGAGTCCCAATTAGATGCGACTGTTTCAGCCTGGACAAGGTGAAGGAAGGAAAGTTGCTTCTGAGCCTGGGAAGTGGGTTTGCCTGTAAAGAAAAGGAGGAGAGGGAGTAGACTGGGAGCTGCTCCCCTCCTCTCCGCAGACCCCCGGGTCTCCCCTTTTCCCCACCTCCTCCCTTTCTCCCCTCCCACCCTCCCTTTCCCCACTCCCCACTGACTCGGAGGCCTGGATGCTCTGCCACCGGGCAGTGGTCCAGCACGCAGCCCAGAGGGGGCGGGGGCAGGGGGCACTGTGACAGGAAGCGGCGCGCACAAGTTGGCCTTTTCGGGGCAAAAAAATAAGTTTTCACTGGGATTTGGAAAGGACAAAGCCAGCGAGCTACCTCTTTGTGTCGGATGAGGAGGATCAACCATGAGCCAGAAGCCGGGCGCAGGCTCCACCGCAGATGCTGCCACCGCGGTCAGCTCCAGTCCCTGCCAGGAGTTGTCAGTGCGAGGTAAGGGGCCCGCGGAAGACGTGCACCTCTGGAGGGAGGCCAGCGAGGGCGTGGAGGCTCGGGGACCGCGTGGGGCAGGCGCGGCAGGGAAAGTTGAGGCAGCAGAAGGACCGGTCCCTACAGTTGCGCCAGGGGTGGGAAGCTTGGGGGGCAACAGCGATGTGGGCGCACTGGTGTACGTGGGCGTGTGTGTGTGTGTGTGTGTGTGTGTGTGTGTGTGTGTGTGTGTGTGTGTGTGTCCCTGGGAGAGAGCGAGGGAGATTTCAGAGCACCGAGACGCGACCGGGATGCAAGAGGTGGAGGGACCAACCACTGCTCCCAGACCCTCAAGAGGGACCGGTCGTGCCAGCCAACCACCTCTCTGGGCTCAGGATTAGTTTCCATTAGGTGATCCTTAGGCTTTGTGCATTGGGTATCCTGCAATAACTGGCTGCCACCGGAAGGTTTCAGGTGTGTGTGTGTGTGTGTGAGTGTGTGTGTGTGTGTGTGTGTGTGTGTGTGTGTGTGTTGTGCAAGGTGGTCAATGGTCGGCGGGACCATCGAGGTACAGCCAGAATGAGCTTGATAGCCCGAGGTTGGCTCTCCTGAGAGCACACTTGGAGAGGAGCCCTAACTCGATGGCCTTTGCTCCTTTTGGCTTGAGTGAAAAATCGAAAAGCCAGACAGAAAGCATATCTCTTCATCGATCCTGTTCCATTTCTTATCTGACAGTGAGATAACTCTGAGAGAGGGCGGGAGTTTCAGAAAAAGACTAGTTAGTATCTCCAATTGTCTTGTTTCCTAAGGATTGCATTTGATTATCCTCCAGTTTCCTGGGTCAACAAGCAGATATATATATATATATATATATATATATATATATATATGGGGGGGGGTCGGGGACAGGGTCGGCAGGCATCGAGGAGGGTGGAGGCAGGGACTATTCCTGCTTTGTAAGAAGTATTTAAAGCATTACAAATTTTAATAACAAATAATAAAACTGCACACTTATAATGATTTATAGACCAGTGCGTAGCTAATTTGCTAATAATAAAATAATTCTGTTATCTGAACAATTCTGTTTGACATGTACATGTGGAAAGATAGTTAGATATTGGTATATTCAAAGTTGAGACAACCAAGAGTTGAGGTCAGTGTGAGTGAAGGACCTCAGCACTAATTCATTACTTTGACTTACTCTGCTTAAATGTATCTATGTTATTTGCTCTTAGATTTGTCCACTACAACTAAGCTGTGTTTTATGGGAAATAAGAAATGTGAATTTGAGGAGAATCCTCATTCATTTGCTTAAATGTAAATGTGCTTTGGTTTAGGCAGCACATATGCTAAAGCTGCAACCTGAACTCTACTTGCTTATCTTATTATTTTTAATATAGACATTGCTGTTACACTAAACTCTTGTGGATAAAATAATTCCCACCAAAGATTTTTTGATAAACCCTAGTTACTAGTTAATAATGCTTTAGTCCTTTGTACATTTTTCCCCTCAAAACAACAAAACAAAATTGGAATAAATTTTGAAAGCCACAAAAAACAGACCTTCATGAAGTGATATGTCATATTTTTCCTTTAATAATGACAATGTCTTATATTTATAAAATCTTTTTAACCTTTAAGTTTTAGCTGCCCATCCTTTCAGGCACTGATTACTCAAATGCATAATATTTTGAATAGACATGGCTTAGGGCTGCCTTGATTTATTTCCAGAGAAACCAGGTGCTCAGGATAGAGGCTAAGTAGATGAAGTCTTGAACATATATTTTTCATAAATAAAGCAATAAAAACCCAGATATGTTCAATTGACTAAAAAAGGAATATGTGGCAAGATTTTTTAAATTACTGTTAAAGACCCACTATCACCCTCGGCAATATAAAATCTCTTATTCTATGTGCTAAAGTCTTTCAATAAAATGCCAAACTCAAATCATAGAAAACTGTCTTAACATGAAAAATAGGCTAGATTGGAGGGGCAATTGGAGGAGAGAGCAGCCTCTCCATTTAACGAGTGGCATTTTTCACACTTCTAGAATATGGAGTCAATGAGCTGATAGATATATGGAGAACTATGTGAGCGTGTTATAAATAATGAAAGCATATTCTGTGACTCAATCATTTGTGTGTGATGGTCTTTTTTTAAGTTGTGGTGTATGCATAAAATTATGATTAGAAGTTAGATTATCCCACAATTACGAAACATCAAATGTGATGTGTCCATTTCTGATCTCTATCTCTGTGATTAAAACTGGTAAGTTGAACACATGCAATGAAACCATAAAATTGATCCTCATTTTTAATGAAATTTAAATAATTTTATTGAATGGATGGTTATTACTCAAAGGTCACCTGTCCTACTTCACTACTTCTGATGATCAATCAGAACTTCTCAAGACTGAGAATGGTCTCAATTTAAAAGATTGCCATCAATAATATTCTTGAAACTTCATTGGGTACCTTTCTTTTTTATTTATATCATACCCCCCTTCACACCCCAAATCAAATCATGTTCTCTTTCTTGTCCATTCATTTAATAAGCAGCACATGATTTATTTCCAGAGTCCTAAGTATCTCTTGTCAAAATATATTCCAATGATTTGAGGATAAAATGTTTCATTTTACTGTCATACTTCACAGCATCACAACATACCATTGGATGTTGTACCATACCATTACAACATACCATTACACAAACAAAATAAAAATTAATAACTAATTTCACTAAAAATAATAAGAGGGTACACTTCATAAGGATTGAAATTTGGCCATAATTCTAGTGTGAGAATTGTTGACTCTATGGGTTGGCTACTCCTCCAAAATTGGTATAGTGTTTATTCTTATTTATCTTGCTTTGCTCTTTTACTCTGAGTTTATTATTTATTTCCATTCCTTCTGGTAGTTGTTAGAGATTATCTAATTATGTAGTAGATTAACTTGTTGAAATTGCTTCCAAGTAGTAGTATAAAGGGATAGAAGATTACCCACTAAGATTCAGATCATGAGTCCAATCAGATTAGTAATCAGGGGAAGGTAGTACATTATCTGGCCATCAACCTCCCTTCATTTCTAATATATGCTTGATCCCATAGTAAATTATATTTTGGAATGCCTTAGTCAAGACCAATATTAAAAGGAACAAGAGATAATTTCTTCCAATACCTTTGGTTCTTCATTATCAAATAGTTATCTTTATTAAGAACTTGGTGGTGATATTTGGTCTAATTTTCCCATTTTCTATTTTATTTTGTCATTTACCATTCTGAGCAAACTCATTGTCTTTGCTAATATATAATATTCATGCAATATGTGTACAAACATTGCAAAATACAAAATCTTCATATATTTACAGGAAACTTTTCAAAGATAACTCTTTTATATCTTGACACCATTGCTAAATATTTAAGAAAAACAAATTTAATATTATTTGTAAGTGTTGTATGGTTATAACCTCATAATTAATTCTTTTACTCATGTATATATGAGGAAATTTTGCTTCTCTGGTACTAATGACCTATGTAAAAACCTGAGATGATTCCTTCCAAGTAATATTCTCTGTGGTGCACATTTGTGAGACATTTTTATTGCAAATTTGATGTCAACAGAACCTTGTCAACACCCACACTACCAGGGAATTCTGAGACATGCTGGTCTGATGCTCCACTAAACCCCAGAAGCGGCTGTCATGTAAACTTCACTATAGAAATGAAAGCGATTACCACAATAGAGTATGAGGAATATATTAGATACTTAGTTAATGCCATACAACAATTCTCATAGAACTTAGTAACCTCCTCACACTGAAAAAATCTGAAAAAAAAAACTGATAGAATCCAGCATAACTTTATCACTGTGATATGTCATGAAAAGTAAGCTGAAATCATGCACGTGTCACTATGGGGTATATTGAGATTTATTTGAAGATACCATATGTTAAGTTTTCTTTAAAAATAGTGAGGCTTGAAATAATCATGAGAAGAACTAGTTTTCACTTTGTTCATGTAAAATTTGGTTCCAAGACTTCCATGTGTAGATTTCTTTAAAGTTCTTAAGCAAACATCTTGGTAGACCCATCATCCCACTCAGTTGTTTCTCAAGTGCCAAGCTTTCAAATGAAAATGTTGCTAGACAGTGGAAGAATGAATGACTTATGTGAGGAAATAATTTGCTAGGTTACATGGAAAACTCAGGAAATACCTGACTAAACGTAAGGTGCATCAGCCTTTAGAAACAGAATTGATTTTGATATTCTTTGCTAGTATGTAAAAACATTAGCATGAATGAAGTTAAGGAAACAATAAAAAGTGCCATCCTCAAACTATTTTTAAGCAACCAAAATTATTCTTCATGGAATGAAAAATTTTTAACCAATATTATCCTTCTAAAATCCCCAAAGTGTTTTATAGTGCCATTCATCATACGGTGGTGACTACCCTCAATGATTTTTCTTTAAAATAAAGAGAAAATCAATTTTCTTGATAAAGGAAAAATAGGCCATTAATTTTCTTGTGACTTTTACCTAAGACAGAGACATTCTAAGAAGTTTGTATTCATACAAAATATAGTATTTTCTCACCAAAGGAGCAATATTTTTCTGGAAATAAATATTATACAATATATTTTGAGAAAAAGACCAAAAAACAAACTTAGGAAACATTGAGAAAATTTGTGCTAGCATAAGATGAAACATGTTTGAAAATATAACCATAGATAGAAAAAATATCAAAATAGAAACTCCAAGGTATCTCTCATTTTAAGTCCTTCTCTGACTTTATGTTAATGTCATTTCCTGTGCACACTTTATACACACACACACACACAAACACACCCCACTTCCCAAATAAGTTGGAAGGTATATGTACTCTCCAAAGAGAATTTTTAAAACCATAGAACTAAACACATACTATTAAAACACTACAACCTATGTAGACGCATAGATGTATTAAGAATATAACATTTAAAAAATAACTATAAACAAGAGATAATCTTCAGATGTAAAAACGTAGATAATAGGGAAGCAACACATTAATAATATATAGTAAGGACCTATTATAATCAAGACAATCACTGTCACTGTCCTCCCGTTGTTCATCGATTTACTCGAGGAGGCCCAGTAACGTCTCCATCGTGAGACTTGTTGTTACTATGTTT